CTCTGGCACTGTGCTCTAGACCATGGGGGCTCTTACCCAGCACCAGGGCTGCCCCCGCATGTCTATGGTACACAGCTCCTACGCTAGCTTGCTCCCTTCCAGGGCAGACAGCATAACCAGACGTCAGAGCTCCTGCACCAGTTCCCCAGCACAGCCCCGGCTAGGACCAGGGTGCCAGATGGCAGGGGCTGGCGAGGGGATTGCTGGATGGGTGACAAACGTCCTGGCCAGCAGTGCTCGGGAGCAGAGCTTGCCCCACCCCGTCCATCTCCCTTTGTCCTTTTCACACAGACTCCCAAGCCCTGCAGCCAAAGCAAGCAGCAAAGAGCAACCCGAGTGGTCTTTGGGGCAGGTTGGTGTGAGCAGCATGTGGGACTCATGGGTGAGCCAAGGTGCACAACCCAGGATCCTTGCACTGATTCAGGGGAAGCCCTGCTTCCCTGCCTTATAACATCCCAGCCCAGCCCAGCCCCCCTCCCCAGTGCTGTTTGGTGGTCTGCCTGTATCTCTATGCATCCGAAGAAGTGAGGTTTTTACTCACGAAAGCTTATGCCCAAATAAATCTGTTAGTCTTTAAGGTGCCACCAGACTCCTTGTTGTTTTTGCCTGTATCTGTCTGTCCACCTTGCCCTTTAGAGTGTCAACTCTGGTGGGGCAGGGACTGGCTGTGTGCATAGAGCCCCGGGCACACCAGGGGCATAGCCAGAGTACAGACAGTAATGCTCTCTGGGAAAGCCAGACTGGCAGCTGTGCAACAGGTCACATGGCATAGTCTAAACAGCTGCACCATTGTGCCTCCCTTGTTACCCACATGTAAGGCTGAGGTGCCAAGTAGCTGGAGTGCTGAAGAGTAGGGCAGCCCCCTTCGTGCTCAAGAAAGGGAGCCATGAGCCCCACCCAAGGCAGCTGGCCCTGCTTTGGGGGTTGAGACACAAAATGCTGCTTTATTAAAACAAAGGAACTTTTATTGGAGGTGAAGGAGGAAGCTCTGGTCCGTCAGCCACCCCCCAACTCCCAGCTGCTGAGTGGAGGGGAGTAGATCCGTACACTATAAATACAGCAGTAGGTGCAGGGAGCAGGTTTGGCCTGGATGCAGCTCAATTGCTTCCCAACTGGAGCCCAGACACGCAGCGAGAGGGATGGATTTGTATTTCAGCTCACAAGACCTGAGTGAGAAACACAGAGAGAGGAGGTTGAAACCAAGAGCAACCAGAGCCCTGACCCCCAGGAGGTGCAGCTCAGCCCCTTCCCCTCACCCTAATCCCCCCACCCCCGAGAGGAGACGTCCACACTGTCCCCAGGGGACGTGTCAAGCACTCCTACGGCAGAGACTGAGAGCACTTACTTCTAGTGCAAGAGCCAATGCTGCAGAAACATTCTGGAATAAAAGATCCACCCAAGCCCAATGTGACCTCAGCCAGCCCAGCCCATCTGGTTACTCCCCCCAGCCTACAGAGAACACTCACCCAGATAATCATCCATAAGGGAGCCGATGGCAAACTGCAAACCAAACAGAGAGATTAGTGCGGCAGCAAAGAGACTGTGTGAGTTGCCCCTGCCTGCGCACCACTGCTCACCCCCAGCGTTCTAGCACCCCCTTGTGGGAGAGACAGGGAAGGAACGAGCCAGTCCTCCTGCCCCACTCCTTACAGCTCCCAGGCTAGGAGCGGTCGGGAGCTCCCCCACAACCAGCCCTCATGCCCTGCTCCTTACAGTGCCCCTTGCTGGGAGAGGCTGGGGTGCAGTAGCCAGGAGCTCCTGCCCTGTTCTTTGCTGAGAGCTGGGGATCTGCACGCACACACACAACAGGCACAAAGCGTATTTGAAGGAGGCATCAAAGACTCACAATGTCATTCTTATCCACTCTGGTCCCCACGATTTTCAACCGGATCTCATCATCCTGCTGGATCACAATGTCCTAGAGACATGCAGCACTAGAGTGAGACCCATTTACGAGCTTCCTCCCCTTCTCAGACAGACAGAGGCAGACAAGGCTAAACACAGAGTTGCACTTAACTCCAGTAAGTAAAGTATGTCTGATACGGGGAAAGCAAAATTCTGCCCCACCATCCACAAGCTTGCTCCGCAGGTCTCCCTTGCCCCCAGCTGGGTCTCCCTCCCTCTCCAGACACCTCCACTACCCACATTACACCCCAAGCTCCTTGCAAAGCACCATCCACCCAGGACTCACCTCATCCACTGTCTTGTAGCAGGGAGGGTTGGAGTTTGGGTCAAACTCCATCTCGGAGGGAATGGACTGAGAAGAGAACAGGAGTCAGTGAGGGAGGAGCTCCCCAAATATCACCCCACCCCTAACCTGTTCCCCAAGCTCCCCCTCCCAGCACCCCGCTTACATGTCGAGATATGAAGCAGGACATGGGCCCGATCTCGGTGAAGAGCCCAACCTGTAGGAAGTGGAAGCAGTGATTCCATTAGCACATAGACATGGGAGTTATCCCGGTCTCCCACCAATAGCCACACCCACCTCTAGCCCCGAGACACCCACTGCTCACAACCTGGCACCCAGACACCACAGTCAGAGGCAGAACAGCCCTTGCACATCCCTTCCTGATCTGCTCTGGGGCTCCTAGATCCTTAGCACAGGGGACACCCCACAGTCTCAAACCAGGGACCCACCCCCTGGCTTAGCTCCACGAATCCCCCTGTCCATCTCTTTCCTTCATGAGCCTTGAGGAAAACAGGATTGTTTGCATTGGCCACAACACTTGTAACTCAGCATTATGACAATGACTATAATCTCATGCTTCAGATCTTCAGCCAGTCACTTGCAGGGGTCAGGAAGGAACATTTTCCTCCCAATGCACAATCTGGGTTGGGTTGGGGTAGGATGGCCCCCCTCCCACCCACTCCCGGGTGGGTCCCCCACTGCACCTTCCTCTGAAGCATCAGAGATCAGCCACTGCTGGAGATGGCTCACTGGGCATAGTGGGCCAGTGCTTTGAGGTCCAGGGAATCCTCTTTCTAAATGCCTGGCTGGGGCACCATGCTCAGATCACCAGACTTGGGGCCAATAAGGAATTTTCCCCCACCAGTCAGATTGGAAGGGACCTTCAGAGCTTTTTGCCTTCCCTTGTAGCATGGTATGTGGGTCACTTGCTAGGATCATCTGGGCATATCTTGCCAAATCAATTCCCTGCCACTGCAGGGCCTTCTGGCATTGGTGGCTGCTCAGGTTCTCCTCTTCTCTGCCTGGGGCACACAACAATTTAGTCACTAAAGAACTCAAGTGAGTAAATTCAATGCAGGGATGTCCAGGTGAGATTCTCTGGCCTGTGTTATACAAGATGATCTAATGGTCCCTTCTGACCTTACACTCCCTGAGTCCACCCCCCCCGCAGCACCGTGTTACCTTGTTGACCTGCGTCACCACAGCATCCACCACCTCCCCCTTGAAGGGCCGGAAGACAATGGCCTTGTACTTGACGGGGTAGAGCACGAAGCCACGGCCTGGCTGGATGACGCCTGCCCCAATGTTATCAATGGTGGTGACTGCAATGACAAAGCCGTATCTGGGGGAGAGTGGGAACCAGCTCTGTTAGAGAGTGCCAAGGCAGAGGGAACGGGCCAGAGAAGGAGCGGGGCTCCAAGGTCCTGTTATGGAGGAAGCTTCCCACACTCACCCCAGGGGCTAGTCTTAGGGTCCCTCCAAAACAGCAACCCCCCTCCTTTTCCAATTCCCACTTCTTCCTTCCATGCATCTGCACCTGCCCTGGATCTCCCACCTCCTCCCTCCATTCCCACAACCCCACTGCTTCCCACTCCCTCCACACACACATTCCCATCACCCCCAGCCTCGTTACTTCCATCCCTACCCTCCACTGGCTGCCTCCAATCCCACAATGGTCTATCCTCCATACTCTCCTGCCCCTACTCACTTGCCCGTGCAGGTCCCCTCCACCTCTGTGAATAGCTTCTGCTTGACAGTGTTGAGGAGATTGGGCCCAAAGTACCGTGGATGCAGCAGGATCTCGTGCTCCAGGGAGATCTATGGAAGCAGGAAAAGGGGGTGAGGGGGCAAAGGAGAGACCTGTCACCAAGAGGGGAAGGGATGCGACCATCAGCCAAACCCTCCCTCCCCCATATCACAGCAGACTGAGCAGTGCACGAAGGGGCAGGGCCCTAGTGCCCCCTGGGGCAGAGGGAACAGTGGCTGCTGAGACCCCTGGATTTGGGGGGAGGTTCCCCAAGGCACAGGGAATGGTGCATCCTGGGGCCCTGGATGGGTGAGGGGAGAATGCCTCCTGGGGCCGAGGGAGCAATGCATGCAGGGTCCCCAATGGGGAGTGGGGGCAGAAGGCAGCTAATGCACCTGGGGGGGTTGCTTCTGGGAGGGGGGTCGAGGAGCAATCGACTCCTGGAAAGAGGGCTGGGGGAACAGCTGACCACGGGGGGGAGGGGGGGAGGCTGTCCAGGCGCTGCTGGGGAGGGGTAGAGTTATCCAGACCCGGCTGGCAGGGGAA